GTCTTTTCATTACCTCAGTGCCCTCTTTTTTGTTTCTGTAGTCCCATGCAGGCAGCAAAATTAGGAGACTTGTGAGGTGTTGATGGAGGACTCTATACTTCTAATGGTCTACAGTCAGCTTTGTAGTCAACAAATGGTACAAGCTTCGAACTTGGGAAGTCCAGGTTCTTACTAGCCCCCCCCCCCAATTTCCTTGAGTTACTTCTTGTTTTTATGTGCCATTAAATCACTTCTGAATTATGGTGACCCTTTGCATTGATGGCCTACAAAAAAGTCCTGTTATTAAGAGCCCTGCTCAGGTGTTGCAAACTCAAGGTTGTGTCTTTGTTTTGAGTCTGTCCATCTATTACTTGGTCTTCATCTATGCTTGTTGACTTCAGTTTTTCCCAGGATTATTGTCTTTACCAATGAGTCCTGTCTCCACACAGTATGCCCAAATTACAATTGTCTCAGTTTTGTAATTGTTGTTATTAGAGAGAGTTCCATTTTGATATGATGTAGAACCCATTCATTTATGTTTCTGGCAATCCATGGCATCTGAGAGCTCTCCTCCAACATCCCATTTCAAATGAATCATTTTTTTCCTATCCAGCTTTCTTCACTGTTCAGCTTTCACATCTGTACATAGTATTTGGGAATACCACTGTGTGAATTATCTTGGCCTTGGTTTCCAGTGACACATCCTTACATTCGAGTATCTTTTCTAGTTCCTTCATAACTGCCCTTCCAAATCTCTGTCATTTTTTAAATTTTTGGAATTGTTACTGCCACAGCAAGTGGCAATAATAGCTTTATCAGTAGCCTGGTCATCTGTCTTCATCTTCCACAACATTATTGACAAAGTCTTGTTTGCATGTTTTGGAAAAAAGCCTGGTGGTTTCTACAACAATAACAATGGAGAATACATTGACAAAATTTTGTAAAACAGCCTTTCTTTTTGAGGAGAGAGAGATAAAATAAAATCTCAGAAGTGTTCTCTGGAAAATATTTCCATGTTATTTTGTCTCAGTTCTATCTAAATTCATAAAATGAATTACTCCATATTTGTCAAGAACTAATCATCACTTTAACTGTTAAAGCTTAACACATTACAAAACTGGCCTAGAGGTCACCAGCACAGGGAGACATATGTTCCAACTATTCACATTTACCAGAGAATCATCCTTTGTTAGTATGTGTCCCTGCCTGTGTTAACATGAACATTCCCTTCCTTTCTGTTTCCTGTCACTACTGAGTGCTTGTCTAGATATTTAAATGTTGCAGCTCTTGCCTATTGAAGATACACGGCTGTTCTATAAGAAGTAGAACCACATCCTTTGTGAGATTATTCTAATACATATTTTTAAGTGTTCAAAAAAAGACTGTGAGGTCAGTTGAATGCATCTAAAGGAAGGGAAGTGGGGTAAATGAATGCAAAAGAGTAAATCTGCCTCCTGGACATTGTCCCATGCTCAAAGGAGACACCTAGTGGGGATGAACCCAACAGGACAGAAGGACTCCCAAGCCCACAGAACCTGAGCACTCAGGAAGCCTTGAGACAGCCTTCTTATTAGGATGAGGTGGCCAACCATGGGAATAGGCAAATTTACCATTTCCTACCGACTCCCACCTCTAGATGGTAGAAAGGGTCCCAGGAATGATGAATATGTCTGTTTCTTTCCTTCCTTTTATTGGACTTGCACTCCATCTTTCTCCAAGAAGCAAAAAAGCATAGCACATGATGCATTTTCAACCCCAGATTTCATCTTCACAAGAAATTTTTGAGGTATAATAAGATGAAAAACTATTTGAACTATTTAAATTCTTAAAAGATGACACTGTTAAGGTGCTACACTCAATATGCCAGCAAGTTTGGAAAACTCAACAGTGGCCAGAGGATTGGAAAAGATCAGTCTACATTCCAGTCCCAAAGAATGGCAGTGCCAAAGAATGCTCCAACTACCGAACAATTGCACTCATTTCACACGCTAGCAAGGTTATGCTCAAAATTCTACAAGGTAGGCTTCAGCAATATGTGGACTGAGAATTCCCAGAAGTACAAGCTGGATTTCGAAGGGGCAGAGGAACTAGAGACCAAATTGCTAACATGCGCTGGACTACGGGGAAAGCCAGAGGGTTCCAGAAAAAATCTACTTCTGCTTCATTGACTATGCAAAAGCCTTTGACTGTGTGGACCACAACAAACTATGCATGGAACAACTGAGTGGTTCAAAATTGGGAAAGGAGTACGGCAAGGCTGTATATTGTCCCCCAGCTTATTTAACTTATATGCAGAATGCATCATGCGGAAGGCTGGACTGGAAGAAACCCAAGCTGGAATTAAGATTGCCGGAAGAAATATCGACAACCTCCGATATGCAGATGATACCACTCTGATGGCAGAAAGTGAGGAGGAATTAAAGAACCTTGTAATGAGAGTGAAAGAGGAGAGTGCAAAAAACGGTCTGAAACTCAACATCAAAAAAACTAAGATCATGGCCACTGGTCCCATCACCTCCTGGGAAATAGAAGGGGAAGATATGGAGGCAGTGTCAAATTTTATCTTCCTGGGCTCCATGATCACTGCAGATGGAGACAGCAGCCCTGAAATTAAAAGGCGCCTTCTTCTTGGGAGGAAAGCAATGACAAACCTCGACAGCATCTTAAAAAGCAGAGACATCACATTGCCAACAAAGGTCCACATAGTCAAAGCTATGGTTTTTCCAATAGCGATGTATGGAAGTGAGAGTTGGACCATAAAAAAGGATGACCACTGAAGACTTGATGCTTTTGAATTGTGGTGCTGGAGGAGACTCCTGAATCCCCTGGACTGCAAGGAGAACAAACCTATCAATTCTGAAGGAAATCAACCCAGAGTGCTCACTGGAAGGACAGATCCTGAGGCTCCAATACTTCGGCCATCTCATGGGAAGAGAAGACTCTCTGGAAAAGACCCTGATGTTAGGAAAGTGTGAAGGCAAGAGGAGAAGGGGACAACAGAAGACAAGATGGTTGGACAGTGTCATCGAAGCCACCAAAGTGAATTTGACCCAACTCCAGGAGGCAGTGGAAGACAGGAGGGCCTGGCGTGCCCTCGTCCATGGGATCAGAAAGAGTCAGACACAGCTTAATGACTAAACAACAACAACACAAAAAACAACTATCAAAAATCTCAACTGAATGCCAGGATTTGAACATGGGTCTCCCAGTTCAATACAATACTCCAACTGCTGTACCATACTATGCAATTTGACCTGTAGAAACTATCAGGTAAAGAATTTTGGCACAAAGAGACAGTATTCATTGCATTGCACAATTGTTGAGGTAGTTCCTGTTCCAGGTATAGATGCAGAAAATGATTCAAAAACTGGCAACCAAACTGTAACAAATGACTGCAGAATGCCCCATTACTGCCTTCCAGATGCTAGCGACAGTCAGGGTGGTGGGGACAAAGGAATAAAAGAAGTATTCTTTCAAGGTATATGAATCAGTTCACTTTGCCTTTCCCTGAAAGAATATTTACTGCTTTGAAAGAAGATGAAAGGATGTTCCAAAGTGAGATCCATTTAAATCTATTTCATAAGTAAACAATGCACAAAAATGAAGCCTCAGCAGAGGCAAAGAATGAAGGCACCTCTTTCTCCTGGTCTGAAACACAGTGTGTGCTTGGTGAAATGCCAGCCTTTGCCAGGTAATTTTCACCTTTGTGCTGAATTGCTATTCAGAGACCATTTGTCTCTCTGTGCAAAGGCATATTTTTAACCCATTTTGTCAGACCCTTCTTGCTTTCCCTGTCAGACCTGGCTTTTCCATCAAATAGCAATCAAACTCTACTGAATCAGTTATGAAGGATGAAGTCAAACCTCTTAGTTTTTGCATCTGTGCATATTAGCAGAGCTTTACCGGATCACATCTTCATATATCATTTGACAAACAGCAACCTAGTACAACTGTCAGCAATCTTCAAATAGCTCACCATTAACAAAGTGATCACAGGAAGGCTCCCCAATTCAAGAAAGAAACAGATTAAGTGTAAAGAAGTCAAAGGCAAATATCTCGCTGAAACATTCACATATACATTAGCACTAATTCAAGTAGTTTGTAGCCTTTAATAGGGTATCCAGCATGTGACCAGGAACATGATGGGCATCTCACCAAATGCTGCAAATTCCTTGTGTGAGTACCACTGCAAATGTAAATGTTTAGCAAGAATAATGTGCTTTAAATTAGGAGAAATGCATGCAAAAAGCGATATAGCAGGCAAAACTGCATACGAAAATGAGCACACATGAAAAAAGTACAAAATTTTGGTGGGGTCTTTTTAAGAACAGTTACTAACTGATGCAAGTAGTAGAAGGGCATGGCATTCATCAAACTCGATTTTGACAGGTACAACGACCCAAGGTGGGACGTCCAGTCTAGAATCAACCCTGGCCCCTTCCGGCGGAAGGGGTGAGGTTGAGGGTGACGTAAGGGGTTGTGGAGGTCACCATGGACCTATAGGAGGATTTGATAGATGTATGGGTCCCCCGTGACCCAAGCACAGCCTGAGGATTGACCCCAAAGGGCATGTTGCCCCTCTGCGGCTCTGTAGGCCAATGGGTAGCGGCTGGAGGGGTTTGGCTAGAAAAAGATGGGCTGTAGGACATGCCCTGGCATGCCCTTGGTCTCCTGTCTCAGAAAGGCCCCAGCAGTGGTTTTGTTCTGCGAGCACTGACCATTCTTTGCAGAGGCTGTGCCGCTTTGGAGACGATGGCTGACAAGGAGAATCAAGTTCCCGAGACAAGGCAAAAGGATCCAGAGATACCCAATAGGTGTTTGTGCCCCGAAAGCTACTACTAGGGGCTTGTGGGTTTTTCTCAGCCCCTCTACCTCTTAGGACCCCTACAAGGCTCAGGGGGCAACTGTCTGAAGACCCAGAAAGGCTAAGAAGAAAATGCAAGAGTACAGAAGACCTATTCATATTTAACGCAAAGCCAAAGCAGAAGCCGAAAAGCACAAGAAAGCCATCCTACACCCTGATGTGGGGTGATGAGGAAGATGACGATGTGCTTCAGTGTGATTGTGACCAGTGGTTAAAAAGAGACTTACAGAAGCCAGCCAGAGAAGTCCCAAAATCGGCAGAGAACGTGGATGGCTGTGTGCTGGTGAAACCAGGCTTTGCGCAGGATGCTGCCATTCCTGAGGAGCAGATGATGGAAGAGGATCTGAACCATTGCCAACTCCAGAAAGTGTTACTTGAGTACAGAGTGACAGTGAGAATATGCTGCCATTAGTGTTAAAATGTCTTGAAGAGCCTGACAGTGTCAGGCATCATATGGAAGCTTCATTTTAGACCAAGAGATCTTCTGGAGCACAGGTAGGTAACCCTTTGTGGTAGGCTTTTGGTAGAGGTTTTCTATATATGATTGTGTGCTAAAACATCTCTTTGATTTTTTAGGGGTCAACCCACTTACAAGCAAGCGGTCATGTTCTGAAAAAAAGCAAAGCTATGCGTTCCGTTATAAAGGCCTGTCTTTATGGAATTCTGAAGCATTGTCTGTCTAAGCATATGACTCGTGTATGAGGGGTGCAAGGCAGAACTTTCTGGGAAGGAAGGTCATCTCTTTTTGTACTGGAATGAAGACGATATAAATAATATATTTAAATAATATATTAGAATGAGCTTTATGTCAGCTGTACCTCTCTCTTATCTATAGAGACACATGCTTTCTACAGCATACTTCGGCCGGCCATGAATATAATGCTTATCTAACTTTCTATTGAAACTTTTTCCAAGAATGAGCTGCTATGTGTTATTATGTTAACTCAGAGAAACAGGTCCTGGCAAAACTGTTTATTAATTATCAATAAGCCTATTTAAAATAAAATCTTCACTATACATTTTTTGTATTTCAAGACTACAGGAAAGAATAAAGACCTTTTGAAATGAGCTGCTATGTGTCAATTATGTTAACTCACTGAGACCCCCAGGTCATTATTCTGGTAAAAAACAATATATTAGAATTAGCTTTATGTCAGCTGTACCCCTCTCTTATCTATAGTGACACATACATTTTTCTATGCTTCAAGTATGCAAGAATGAGTAAAATCCCTTTTGAAATGATCTGCTATGTGTTATATTGTCAACCCAGAGAAGAAACAGGTCCTGGCAAAACTTTTTGTTAATTATCAATAAGGCTATTTAAAACAAAATCTTCACTATTTTTGTGTTTCAAGACTACAGTAATGAATAAAGCCCTTTTGAAATGAACTGCTACGTGTTATTATGTTAACTCAGTGAGGCCACAGTCCTTTATTCTGGTAAAAAAAATATATTAGAAATAGCTATATGTTCTCTGCCTCTCTCTTATCTATAGAGACACATGCTTTAGGCATCATACTTTGGCTGACCATGAATATACTGATTACCTAACTTTTTATTGAAAATGTTTCTATCTTACTGCGTTAAGATAGATGATAACCAGGGTGGGGAGCCGTTCTGTTTAGAATTACATCTCCTTTGCTGTTCTAACCCATAGAATGTATACTGACCAAACCCCTTGAACTACTTGTCAACCAATGAGAATTTTTCTATACCTTTATCTCCTTGTGGCTAGAAGGTATAAAAGCTCTTTGTACTTTTGGGTCAATATCCCTCTTGTCTGGGAGATCCAAGAGGCCACATGAAATAAACAGCACTTGTTCTCTTTTGAATCTGTGTATTGCCAAACCTCATGCTTGCTGGTACAAGTTTCTTATATCTGACTCACAGAAGATATGGCTAAGGTAAGACTCTTACAAAGTTGCTATGCCAAATGAAATATTTTATAACAGAATAGTATATTTTTAATAGTCGTTAATTCTATGACCTTCTTTTCTAGAATTTCAGCACCAAAGCACAGGTTCATAGCACTGAGCAGCAGAAAGGTAAGAGAATGAATGTTTTGAAAACCTGTTAAAGGATTTGTTCTTTTAAATTAAGTGTAGAATTATCACAGAGGGCAGCATAAAGGCTTTAAATATATATTTTATTTTACTGTTAGACACAGAAAAAGCTTTTAGATAATAATACAAAATTCCTCATCCACTTGCAAAATATGTTAAATTTTTATTTTAGTTTTAAATTTTGTCTGAGAAACTTGTTTAACCCCCTCTCCTGTAGCGGGGGGGGGGGAGAGACAATAGTGTTTATGTCTTTGCAGAAGAGTGACCTAACTGTAAAAAGGTTCTGTTTACAAAACATTAATGCTGTTTTTACTTTAGATAAGAGGGTAAAATTCTTAGTTGCATACCCAACCACCATTTTGAAGAAGCCATTCTGTGTATTGGCTGATTATGTATGTAGTAATACATTCTGTAAGAGTGTCTAGTTCCTCACTTGTTAAAGGGATGTACTCTTTATAAAGTATCTTCACCAGGTTGCCCCCAAAGCCGAGGATCGTAAACATCCTTCCCCAGTTATTTTTTCCATCTTCAAATACATATTGTATTGTTAATAGGAATGTTGAGCAGGCTTCGAGCTGGTTGAGTTGTCTTAAAGGGCTGTTGATTTGAAGCTCAAAGGGCTTTTGAATCAAAGAGTCTATTTTTTTTAAAAAAGTGGTCATTTCTGATTTAGACAGCATATTTTCAGGTTGACCACAGCCTAGTTCAAGATATTTATGAACAATATAATAAGTCTATTGTTTAATCTTATCCATTTAGCAGGAAAATTCTAAAAACCTGGAATCAACATGCAGCACAATCTAATATGTGCTTTTCTTTAAACTTGTGAGGTAGCCCAGCATTGTAAGACAACTCCTAACATGTCCTTTTATTCCTGCAGGGGGTGAGAGCAATAAAAGCAGATCTCCCAGTTGTTTGTCTCTGGATTCTTTGGGTGAGTGACAAGACCCTAAAATACCCGGCGTAATGCCTGCGGTCCAGCTTTTTAAATATCATAAATGATATAGAATATCTTTTTCAGACAAGTATTTCCAGGATGATTTTATTGAGCCCATGAAGACACCTTCTCCATGTCTCTATAAATCCATGTCTGAGAGACTTATGGCAGCCAGGACTCAACCCTGTGTCTTTACCTTTAAAAGAAAGAACCCTGACAATGGTTAGTTTGGTGCATTTTCATAGCTGTGTTTTGCTTGGCTGCTGTTTTAACAGATTGGGGGATAACTCCTTTGTCTTATATAAAATTAATTTACAGTTTTTCATGAAACCTTTCAAGTGTGTGTGTGTGTGTGTGTGTGTGTGTGTGTGTGTGAGAGAGAGAGAGAGAGAGAGAGAGAGAGAGAGAGAGAAGCACTGAAATGACCCTTTCACAATTATTGTCTTTTATTTTCTAGCTCAGAATATGGCAAATGACCCCAAAAGATTCAAGAATGGCAAAGTGCCAGGCAGCAGCAGCAGCAACCCACCGACCCCTAACCCATTCAAGGGAACCAAGGTTGGTGAACTAACAGGCAGCAGCAACCCACCAAATCCTTTGAAGGGAAACAAGCCTGCTGAAGGGACAGGTAGCTAAAACCCTGTGAAACCTCAGGCTGTGAAGTGCTGGAAAAAACAAGGTTTGCCTGTAAATGATGGAAATGTCGATGCTGTAGCCACTATAAATACCCCAACAATTGTTGAATGGTTTAAAAAAAGTTGAAATGCTTGTTAACATGATAACCATTGCTAAAGAATGGGAAAAGAGCTTGGGCCAGATTATGGGTGGTTTGCCCGACATGGAATCAATATGTGAAATGATTTAAAAATGGATCATTTTTCACATCTAAAATCATCTCAAATCCATACAGGTCTGGGCTGACGTAAAACAGTCACCCAAAAGAGATAAAATGAAATGGCAGAGCCCTGACCAGCAATTGGGAAAAAAGGGGGGAAAGCCTATCAAAGGGACGATTTATTGGTGAAATAGAGCTGCTAAATTGTTACAAAGGGCTAAGAAAAGGCTTACACATAGGAAAAGGAGTCCTGAGTCTCCACCTTCTAGTTCTACACAGCAGGTTCAGAGTTCTCAGGATCCTGCAGGCCTTGATGGCCATGGTTCTCAAGAAAACACGCAAGAATCAGAAGCACTAGCTCCTGAAAATAATCCAAGCCCTGATGCAGAAACCCCACAAGTGTATGCAGACGTCATAAATAGATGGGAATGGTCACAGAAACGGTACAGAAGATGACATATTGCACAGGAATTCCATTTTGTTAATTTAGAATATATACAATCATATACACAAGCGATAACTGCCTTGCATGATGCAATACAGCAAGTCCTAGATGGCGTTAATCAAAGCCTCGATACTGGGGATTTTGCGCAGCTGAGTTTTCAGGGTGGGAATATGAGGAACCCTCTGTTTTTGTTGAGAAAGGTTAAAGGGGCTCTGGATGCTGAGGAATTCCTCTCTAATCTGAGCAATCTCTTACAGAGCAACATGGAACTGCGTCTTGAGGCTATTTTGAGATTGGTTGTAACTATTGTGAAATCTCCCCATGGAGGTGGCCCTTCATGAGCATTGCATTCAATTCCTCATAGTGAAATTATAAATAAGAAAACTAAAATATCTAGATGGTTTCAAAGATGTAAACAATAAGACCTGCTTTGGGGAAAGTCTTGCAGCTGTAATGGTTAAAAAGGTCCTGTGGCATACAGCTCTGCTCTCACCTGTCCGTCACAGCTGGGCAGGGGAACCTCAGCCAATGAGAGGACAGAGGGTGATGCAGAAGGGGGAGGAGCTGGATTATATAAGGTGTGTGTGAGGTGTGAAATGGGGAGAGTTTGAAAAGATGAGAGAAGTTGATTGAGAGAGTGAGATAGATTTGAAAGAGATAGTCAGTGAGGGAAAAGTCTGTGTGATCTAGTAACTGAGAAACGTGATTAACTACTTGATTTATTACCTGTGATTCACCCTTTTTATTTTGTACAAATCAATAAACCTTTATTTGTTTGAAAGAAAAACTTGTCCTTTGTGAGTACTAAGGATAGGTTGGTGGCAACAAGTGAAGAACAGTAGTGAGCACTCTTGGAGGCCTGTATTGGTAGAGGCTTGAGAGTGGCCCATCACAGGTCCCAACAGATGCTGAGTTGACAAAAGCAGCTCTGCAATTGTATCAAGCTGTTCACTGGCCTGTAGACAATGGCTCTGGCTGACATTCCTCTTTTTGAAAACCACTTACAAGTCAATATCTGGATAGCCCTCTATGGTGACAAATGTTGGGGTTTATTTAAACATCAAAGCCAGAGGTATCCACGTACACCTTGTTTCTCCATGATAATCATTATTATGGGGTACTCAACTTGAAAGTGCTTTTTGGTGCTAGAAACTACTGTCTGTATTGCCACAAATTGTACAAACACAGTCACGACTGTTTATTTTTCTGCAGACACTGCCTAAGAAAGGATTGTGTTTCTAAAGTAGATACTATGGAAAGGTGTAAGTGTTGCCAAATGAACTGCAGATCAAAAGAGTGTTTAAAATTACACACCAAGCGAGCTACAGAGAAGAAGGTACCCTGTAGACTCAGGAAGTTTTGTGACAGCTGCAGACGTTTTCAAAATGCAGAGCATTTCACTAAATGTGCAGAATGTTTAGTGTCTGTTGGGGTCATATGAAACAAGAGGAGAAACATCTGTTTCATGCGCCCGATTAAAGAGCCAGAGATCTCAACCCATTATATATTTTATGACATAGAAGTCCAACAAGACACAGGGATACATGTCCCCAATTATTGTTTTGTAAAAGCTTTTGAGGGAGAGAGTGTAGATTGCTTTAAAAAAGAGCCCGCTGTGGAAAACAGACTGCCTGACTGGCTACAGGCAACCGGGGACCAGAATTCTGAGGAGGAAGAGGAGGAGGGTGAAGAATATGATGATGATACAGTTTGTGAGAGCAAAGTGGAGAAGGACTCTGGAGGCTCAAAGAAACAAACTCCGAAAAAAAAGGATTGGCCTTATGGGAAAACCTGGGAGTTTAAGGGTGAGTCTTGCACTGCTGAGTTCATTCGGACATTCACAAAATGGCAGCTTTTTGTGGGCACTACGTTTATAGCCCATAATTAAAAAGCTAGGACGCCTATTTCATCTTCAAACAATTGGTCAAAGAAAAACTGGCGGTAGACCTTATTGTTGAAGGGGGTAAACTTATATCAATAACAGTGAAAAATCTAGACATAAAATTCCTGGACTCTCTAAGCCATCTCCCCATGGTCCTAGCAAAGCTGCCCAAATGTCTAGGGCTCAAACAGGAGTCTAAGGGTTGTGGTTGTTGTGGGTTTTTTGGGCTTCTTGGCCGTGTTCTGAAAGTGGTTCTTCCTAACGTTTCGCCAGTCTCTGTGGCCGGCATCTTCAGAGGACAGCAAACTGTCTAAGGGTTATTTCCCTCATTATTTCAACACCCATGAAAATAGCCAGCACAAGGGACTCATGCCACCCCCAGAAGCTTATGGGGTTCAACACATGATGCCTTCTGAGCAGAAGCGTTTCTTTCAATGGTATTCTGAGAATAAGATGAAAACCTTTAATCTGCAGCAAGAATTGGCTTCCTATTGCCAACAGGATGTTAACATCCTGGTACAGGCCTGTACAAAGTATCACCACGAAATCATGGATCTTACAAAAATTGAGAAAGAGTGTGATGGTAAATCTGAGTGGTTTGCCCTAGACCCTCTTTGGTATCCCACCCTGGCTAGTGTGTGTCTTGCCATGTACAGATTCAGATTTCTGAAGAAAAATAAAATAGCTATTCCACAGCCAGATAACTATCATAATCAGTGTAAAAGGTATTCATCCTCATCAATCCAATGGTTGTCTTATACTGCACATAAAGAAAAAACCATGATTCAGCATGCCTTGAATGGCAGGGAGTTTTTTATCAACCCTTTTTATGTAGATGGTTACATGGTTGTGAATGGTCAGGGGATTTGTTTAGAGTTCTTGCGGTGTTTTTTCCATGGTTGTGTCATTTGTTATCATTCTGAGGATTGGAATCCTCTGTTAGGAAAAACCTATGGGACTCTTTATAATGCTACACAGGAAAAGGGCTGGTGTCCTGAAAAGTAAGGGATTTGAAGTCAGATAAATTTGGGAGCATGAATGGTGAGAGTTGGTAAGAAATGACAGCAATGTCAAACAATTCCTGGCTTCAGCTGATTTTCCAGAACCCTTAGAACCTAGGGATGCTCTCTTTGGGGGGGGGCGTACAAATGTGGTCTGTCTGTACTACAAGCCTAAACCTGGAGAGCAGATGCATTACTATGATTTTACCAGCCTTTACCCCTATGTCAACAAAACTAAAGAGTATTTGGGCCACCCCGAAATCATTTTTGAGAACTTTAAACCAGTGTCTGCATACTTTGGCTTCATGAAGGCTAAAATCTATCCGCCAAGAGGTCTCTTTTTTTTCCAGTGGTGCCCACCAGGGTTGGTGGAAAACTTGTATTTGCGCTGTGTGCCACATGTGCATATGGCCATCAGAGAGACCCGTGTCAGCATACTGATGAGAGAGCCTTGGTGGGTACCTGGTGTACTATCGAGCTGAATGTTATCATAGAGAAGGGCTACAGGGTTGTGAAAATCTGTGATGTGTGGCATTTTAAAGAGAGGTCAGGAGATCTGTTTTCAAAATACATGGAGCTACACCTTCACCACAAACAGAAAGCCTCAGGCTACCCCGAGTGGTGTGTCAGCAATGCAGATAAAAATAAATGTATTGCTGATTATTACAGCAAAGAGGGTGTGGATCTATGTCAAGAGAAGATTGAAGTAAATCCAGCAAAGAGACAGATTGCCAAACTGTTTTTTAACTCTCTATGGGGAAAATTTGGTCAGAGAACAAACCTGTCTAACACTCAGGTGTTAAGAGATCCTGATGAATATTTCAATCTCCTCTTTTCAGAGGCTTACACGGTGTCAAATTTTTGAATTTCTCCAGGAGGATGCAGTCTATGTGTCATGGAAACATACTGCATGTAAGCACACAGGTCTCCTAAGAGATTACCTGTGGCCTGAACAGAGAGGTTCCAGATGCAAGTGTACTCCTAAATCAGCTGAACTGAGTCAGTGTATTCAGCCAGGCAGTCCCACTTACTCCTTTTCCCAAGTCCGTTCAAACTAGCAATTAACTGAGAGAAAAGCTAAGATAAAAATCATGAGTTTTGGAGTCTGCCAAGACGAACAAAACTCAGGCAATTAATGGACTCAAGTAGCATATCTGTGGCCTACAGATAATTATACAGGTTTGTTGCTCAAGAGACCAAACATAAGATTTTAAGAATTATTGTTTTATTAGCAAATTAAGGTATTTAGAGATATTTAGTTTGTTGCAAAGCATAGCATTCAAGTACATTTCCATAAATCAAAGCAGTTAGAAATATAGCAAATTCCAGCTATAAAAATAAAATAAAAAACTCTAAAAATAGCTTTAAAGGTAGGCAAGGCACAGCCCCCCTTTCTCTGTCCTTACTCTGAACTACATTCTAGCATAATACTAAAAAATACCAATTGGAACTCAAAAGTCCATCCCAAAAATCCAAGTTAGAATCCCAGTTAGAATCCAAGTCTTCTCTTTGTCTCCATTCTCCATTTCTTCTCCACTCTTCTGTGATGTAAACCAATCAGAG